AATGAGAAATTTGTTAGTGGTGTGAAGAACTATATTCCTACATGCTATATCTAGTATACTGTTATTTGGCTGTGTATACGTACTATTTCTCCTTCACAAAAAGGACCTCCTGAAAATGTTAACTCATTCATCCACCTTAGTGTTCCTGATACATTAGAAAATTGAAGTTTTGTTTTTTACATGTGGGAGACATCATGGATGTCACATGTCCAATTTAGAAGGTCAAAACTTCTCCAGTTGCTAGGATGAACATATATGGAAGCACTTTATTACAAAATACTCTCTCAGGCAGGGGCGCAAGGGGGTTCACCTGAACCCCCTTCGCCGAAAAATTACACTGTATATATAAGGCAAAATCTGTTTTTTACCTCTATATATTAAGTTTTGAACCACCTTACCACAATCCAAAAGTGTAGTTTAGTGGTTAAGGGGGTTCAAAATCTACATAAGGTCATGGGTTAATTCCCACTAGCTACAAATTTTTTTTTTTTGAACCCCCTTCGTGGGGATCCTGCCTCCGCCACTGCTCTGAGGCATCTTATGCTGCTTGCAGGGAACTCCTGACAATCCCATGAAGGCCTTTGCCGAAGGATCTCTTGATCAGTGTGCTGATGTAGAAAAGGTAAATTTTGATTTTTTTCAATTATGTGTACGATGTTATATATTTTCTCATATGCTATATTCTAGCACACACTTTTTAATAGCAATGGTTGAAATATTTCCTCATAGGTTATATCGTAGTACACATTAAATTCAGATTGGAATTACACTCGTGAAGTATAATGATAAAACTTATAAGAAAGGTTGAACGAGAAAGAACAACGAATTCACTTTATGAGTTTCAGTAACAAAAATTTAATAAGTTTGTTTTGTTCTAATTCCACTGACCCAATCTGTCAATAAAAACAGGACACTGTAGCAGTGTTATTTTTATAGTATGCTTTCACCAATTGTCCAACTGATTTTCTTTTGTCCAACTGATTTGAAGCTGTCATCATATGGCTTAAATTTCAACTTAACCAATTATCCAGATGGTGTCTATTTAATCATTTTGTTGCAATGATGCTCTACCATTTGGGTGTCACATGGGAGTACATTACTGTCTTGACACTGGATGAGGATCTCAACATGAATACTTTGAATGGCAATAGGCAACTCTATTTTTAGTTAAATGTTTTTACCTTACAGTATTTTTGCTGTATTTGGTTCAGAATCTATTCGGCGCTGGGAGCAATAATGCAAATGAGATACCTGTGGGTATCACTAGTCCTTCTAGTAATCTTGTTGAGCAGGGTAAGAGTAGTTTGAGAGTTATCACAGCCTTATTATCACTGTTTTCCTTAATATTATTCATGATAGATTTTTTGAATCTTTTTACTCGAAATGATTAGAAGCATTTTGTCACTGAAATCTTGGATCTGCAGGAAACTCTAGTTGATATTGGAAATGCTCCCAAAACTGAAATTGACATTCCTGCAAATTTTGACTAGTAAGTTTTGATTTTTAAGACACCATTAGCCGATATAAAGTAGCTCTCCTTGCTAATATTTGAAACCTTGCACATGTTGACAGCCCGTAATTATTGTTGTAACATACCCCGATTGCAGTGACATCTCCTTTTCCAGAGAGATATTACCATTTCAAACTAACCCTGTTAATTTGGAATGGATGCAAGTGTAAGTGTTGATGCTTGTAAATGAGTAAGTAATACTATTGGTGCCTAGCCAATTCATACTAGTGTGATTAATCGCTTCCTGTACATCCTGAGCTAGTTGGAATTCTAAACCTTCGTTGTATACTAATGGTGATGATCTCATGTTTCTTTCAAAATCCTTTCTTTATTGCATGGTTTTACTTGGTACTTCTGGGATTTAATAACGAGTAATACTTGCTACAAACCACCTGTAAGGACAGAGATTATTTCTACTTCATCCCGACTTGATTGATCTATAGAATCGGAACATTCCTTGTGCATATAGGTGGAGTATAATTAACTATGTTTTCTGACTTAGCTGCATCGTACCCAGATCAGTGAATGATCATCTCGTTTTGCTGGTGATAGACTTGGGTTTTAAAAATTGAGTGTGCCCCCTCTTCTCCCAGATAGAAAGGAAATAAGAAGTTAAAACTGAACTTTAGATTCTCTTTTTATTTTTCATCCAATTTACCTGATTATCAAGCACCTGACCCTCAGTTACACCCATAATTGTTTCTTTTTTTCCTCCTCTTAATAAGAAAGCTTCTACAGTACTTCTTTTTAGCTGAAATGCATGGAGACAGTGAACCCAAGCTCCCCCCTCCATGGCAGTGCAAAGTTAATATAGATACACATGCGCACTAAATCTGTACCTGTTGTCACAAAGCCACCGTGGGTATGGTAGTGTCCACATTCTACTGATCTAAAGTCTTGAATCCTGTCTCTAAATAGGATTAGATATTTTAGTCTTGTTCTACCCGTGGGTCGACACTTCATGTTAAGTCCATTGACCCCAGCTCCTTACATTTCTGAGCAACATTGGTCTTCCTATATGAGATTGTTCCGCGCTAACGAGA